TTGGGATTAAATCATATTTTTTTTATTGGCCTATTTAAGTAATCATGCATGTAACTTTTATTTTTTTATCTTTTTTTTATAAGTTATTTTTTATAATTTAATGAAATTCATATTTCACAAATCAAATTGTTTCTATTAAAATTATTAAAATATCTTTAATAAAACTATTTCATACTCTCTTTATTTATTAAAATACCTTTAATGAAATTAATCATCAAATTTTTACTTGGCCCACCCTCTCTTATAACCTCACCTAACGGCATTTGAGGAGATAATTTGATGGCATTTAGGGAGATAACGTGAACTGATTAATAGGGTATGTTAAAACAAAAGGAAGTAATTATGTTTACAAATTTAAAAGAAGAGTGACTAAATTGAAAATTGTGATAAAGATTAGTGCCATTTGTATAGTTTACCCTTGACTTTTAAAACAAACATTAATTAATTCAATAATTAGAGAAAAAAAATTTCAAGGTTAAACTCATAAAAACACTGAAAATTTAACAAATTTTAGTAATTAAAAAATTAAAAAATTTTAAATTTAAATCTTAAAATAAATTATTTTATCTCATGTAATATAAAGAGGCAAAAGGTACCTGTTTACCTCTTAACTTTTCAATTTTTAAGGGTTTTTACCCTCCATATTATAATATATGAATTTTTGCCCTTCATATTTTTGAGTTTGAGGAAATGAGACAAAATTTAACGTCGGAGCGTCACGTGTAGCACGTGCACCGTTGGCCTCCGTCAAGTGTGCACATGTCAGCACCACCTCAGACTTTTTTGACAACTTGACATGCCAACTTGGAACTACATGAGCGGGAAATCTACCTGCTACCAATTTTATTTGTGGGTCCCACTACTAACTAAAGGTTTGAAATAAAAAGGTTAAATCCTTGATTCAGTCCCTTAACTTTCATTTTTGAACTAAATTTACCCTTGAACTTCAAAATATTGTGACTTGGCACCAAAAATATAATTTAATAAATAAAGATTTCTTTTTTTTCTCCTTCTCTTTCCTTTTCTCCTTCCCCTCCCTACTGGGTTTGAAGGAACCCAGCACCAGCGCCTGAGACAAATCACAGTCGCAGATCCATGAGCACAACAGGCGGGACAAATCGCCCACACGAAGCCTCATTGTAATAGACATTCACACGCTCCAGTTGCAGATCAGAGTTTCCATTGTATCGTCCTGTCGGATCGATACCGTGCTCATCACAGACCACTTCCCAGAACTTAGCACCGATCTAATTCCCACATTGTCCACCCTGAATGTGAAGGATCTCTCTCATTGTTTAACAATAGATCTGCAGAAACAGCAAAACAAGCAGATGTCTTGACTACAGACATAAGACTTAAGCAGACGTTAGATGACTATACTATCACTATCAAATATGAAATTTCAAACACTAAAATACCCGAGTCGGCAATTTCTTTGATTTTCCAACCTACTTTCTCGGCAAACAAACAGAAAACCAAAGATGAGGATTTTATACTTACATCGATCAGAGGCGGAGAGAGAGATAAGAGAGTACA